GAAACGCGCATCCTGGATTCCACTTCTAGCCACTATCCATCTTTACTTAGGAACTAAACATTGATTGCTATCAGTTAACTAAACTTCATTCATATTTAAAACCTAAATTTAACTTGAAATAATGAATAGACTGATCAAGAGAATACACTTTTCATAAGTAATGTTTCTTTTCGTTGTTTTACGGGGTTATCATAGGATTGCATCTTCTGACGTTGCTTCACTGCCTTGTGGATCAGATCTTTAGGCCGAAGGTTGCAGGTGTAGCCTCCTTAAGAAAACCACCTACTTTGGTCTGGGCACTCGGGCAGTATCACAACCCACACACAAATCAAGTTACGTGTGTGGAGCATATGTATTCAGTGCCCCTTTGTACCAATATTTATGTGTTCAGATAAATAATAAATTTCGCTGTTTTATAGGGTAGTGAATAAGTTTTATTGACTAAATTCGACAATATGAACCACTGAATTCATCTTCAATGGTTAAAATATATCATTCTGACTATGAGAATTGAAGAGTTCAAAATTCATTCGTGAATACATCCTGGTCGCCCTAGTTATATATAAATTTATAGATGATTGTAAATTATTATGAAAATACTAATAGTTGATAGTGGGATCCAAAATTCGTGAGTTTTATCCGATTTGAAACTTGTCAGCTGAATATACTTTCATCCAATTATGATATACCAACATTGAAAATTATCTTTTTGTAAGCAATGATGTGTAGTGGCTAGCAGTGGAATCCAGGATCCCGTTTCGTCCCGCTTGGGACTCGTCAACTGGATGTACCTGCATCTCAGAGTTGGTCTTCACTCCGGGACTCGGACGCAGTACCATTCACTTCAAACACCATCGCGTTATCCACTTAGCTCCTGAGTCCTGATAGCCACTTGCTTGTGCAATGGGGTAAATTTGAATTCACTTGGTATTATTTGGCTTGTATCTTCCCATTGAGGTTTAAGACTGCGATTGATCAGTGTGTTATCGGCATATGTGCATACTGTTCGTACGCCGCGTCCTGGATTCCACTGCTAGCCACTATCCATAATTGCTTACTAAATACTTGTGAATTAAGGCAATATCGAGGCATACGCACAGTATGCATATATGCCAATAACAGACTGATCAATTGCAGTCTTAAACCTCAATGGGAAGATACAAGCCAAATAATACCAAGTGAATAGAAACTTATCACTTTAACAGTTAGTGAATTATTTCACAAATGAGTTGTATGGATAAGGAATTACAAATAGGATGAAATCCACTTTCTGAATTTAAGTCCTAGCTACAACCTGAAAATATATATGTTAAACTTTAAATTGGACATACTATCATGACACCAGATTAAGGATCTTATATATCAGTACATATAAATTAAATCCAGTCTTAAATATCAACAATAAGGTAACGTAAACTTTAACAAAATTTACATAAATTTCACAACTGATTGATTGCTGATTCAATATATGTGTAAGCGCTCGCGCGCGAAACCAGTAGGTCCTGGGTTCGAGTCTCGCAGGGGGCGAGTTCGTGGATGCGCACTGCTGAGGAGTCCCACAATAGGACGAAACGATCGTCCAGTGCTTCCAGGTTTTCCATGATGATCTAACTTCAATTGACTCATGATCTTAACCATTGAAATCACTATAATATTCACAAAACCCATCTGATATATGTCTAGTCCTTTAACACTTTTCTAATTTATCAATTCAGTTATAATGTAACCAATAATATAATGGATTTGACATTGTGTATACAATGTTAAAATACTAGATAGTTGAATGTAGTTGATAGGATATCACAACTGATCTCGTTTTTAAAGTTAGTTGACACTCATCTACAAAACGTACCTACAATCTCTAAAGGAATTGATGTTTCAGTAAACTAGGAATTACCTCCGAATAATTAATATAATAATTTTTCTAAACAAGGATTAGTTATGATGAAAGTGTGAATGAATTGATTTTAAGACAGAAGAATATAATTCCTATGGAATTTACGTAGGTATCATGTCATTTGTAATAAAAATAGTAACTAGAAACAATGTTAATTCTATTGATAAATATGTAAACAACTATGAATTACAGTTGTTTAATGTAAATTGAAATGAAAACAGAAAATGCATATGACGTCAGAATTTGCAAGATAAAATTGTTACCAGTTATACAATAATTAGGTATGTTTATGTATTTTGTGCTAATAGATATCAGTGCAATCTAGGATGTACGCTTCATCTTAGTTGAAACTAACCATTTGGATGTATCCGAATATCATTGTTTCTATTTCCACAAAGACTTAACTTACTTACTTGCTCCTTTTACTCCTAATAGAGCATAGGCCACCGACCAGCGTTCTCCAACCTACTCTGTCCTGGGCCTTCTTTTCCAGTTCTATCCAATTTTTGTTGATTTTCCTCATGTCTGTCTCCATTTCTCAGCGTAATGTGTACTTTGGTCTTCTTCTTCTTCCTCTTCTTTGGCACTGAGGTTTTCAAGTGAGGGCTCGCCTTGTGACGCGGTTGGGTGCTTTCCTCAATGTGTGTCCTATCCACTTCCAGAGCTTCTTTCGAATTTCTTCCTCCGCTGGCATCTTGTTTGTTCTCTCTCACAGTAGGTTGTGGCTGGTAGTGTCTGACCAACGGACCCGAAGTATTTTGTGCAGACAACTGTTAACAAACACTTGTATCTTCTGGATGATCGCTTTCGTAGTTCTCCAAGATTCCACCCCATACAGTAGAACTCTCTTGACATTTGTTTTGAAAATTCCAACCTTGGTGTTGGTCGACAATTGTTTTGAGTTCCAATTGTAGATATGCTGCTCTTGCTTTGCCGATACGCGCCTTCATATTTGCATCCGATCCACCATGTTCATCAATGATGCTGCCCAAATATGTAAAGGTTTTTACATCTTCCAAATCTCCTCCATCAGTTGTGATTGGATTGGTGCATGCTGTGTTGTATCGCAGAATCTTGCTTTTCCCTTTGTGTATGTTGAGACCTACTGCTGCTGTTACACTGGTCGTCTTCTCCTGTATTTGTTGTTGCGTATGCTATAGAAGAGCTAGATCATCTGCGATGTCTAGATCATCCAGCTGCATCCTAGCTGTCCACTGTATCCCGTATTTCCCCCCGGATGTTGATGTTTTCGTAATCCGGTCGATCACTAGTAGGAAGAGAAGGGTTGAAAGTAAGCAACCTTGACTGACACTGGTCTTTACCTAAAACGAGTCTGCGAGCTGTCCTCCATGCATGATTTTGCAATTTGATCCATCATAAGAATTCCGTATGATATTGACTATCTTCTCAGGTACGCCGTAGTGTAGAAAAAGCCTCCATAGTGTTGTCCTGTCCAAGTTAAAAAAGAAAACACTAGCCAGAGAAAATAATTCGAATAAAAACTTGAACCCAATAAAAATTACTTCATGTTTCACTGTTATTTAATGAATACGAAATGCACATCTATGATGTTCACTTCTAACCAAATCTGTAAACATGGATAACATTGAGAACACATTCTGGGAATCTTTTAAATTAACATGAACTGATTCAACATTGCGAATATTATAATTAATATTATTTAAATGATGTTTGTCATAGGGAGTAAAAACTAATTTTAACTAATTAAGTCTTACATTCATGTGTTGATTTTCTGAATGAGACTTGGACACAGTATCTAGCGCTTCAAACTCTAACGGGTGAACCACCAAGTTATAGAGTTCAATTCGTCACTGACTTGCTTATTTCCAAAAGGGTATATTATCGTGTTATTGGAATTCAAAATCTTATTTGATCAGTCTAAGTTGGTATATATATACCCTTTTTTAATAGATTCTCCGAAAATATCATAAACATTGGACAATTTATTGGCCACATGGGCCCAGTAACTGTAGCGATTGATGCTTGGTTCAAGTTTCATCTTGAATATTAACATTAGAATGTCGTCAAATCCAGACGATCAGGACTAAATACGATGAAATAAGTGTTCTGGATAGTATGACTAATAACAGAGTAAAAATATACTGGTAACAAGAGTATGTTAAGTTTAATGTAACACAAATAATTCAATATTCAGTACTATCAGTGTGGTATGTGCTACTGATGTCGATAGATATAAGTAGTATATATAGTCATTCGAAAGTGAAATGCCTGAAGGCAGAAGATTAAAACGAACGAGAACGAGAACAGTGAATGATCGGGGTGGAAACAGAGGAATAATGAAGTCTGAGATGATTGACTAATATTTTGCAAATGAAAAATTCATTGTATAGTTTTTAGATTTTATTAAGATATTCAGTAATATTGTGTTAAAATACTGTTATATCTTGTGACTGTAGATTAGAGCACAGCGTATTATCGATCGGACCAAAGACGCTTAAAACACGTGAGAACAACCTAGAGTCCTGATTAGTCCTGCTTTCCTGTCTAGCCCAGCCAGTTTAGTCCAGAACACAAGTCTCAGCCTCTGAGATATGAATCACTATATTTCAAGCATACTGAGTTTATATACCAAACAAACCGACCACAACGTACCAATAAAATATGAAACATTTGTACAAGAATTAGCCATATGTGGCTCTGAATGAGGGAGGTAGTAATCAATATACTGGGTATAACTCAAAAATGGTAAAATGTATCATAATAATGGTTCATAGGTCAAAATAAAGCTTATAGTAAGAGGAACACGAATATAAATAGCTTAGTTATTTAATAATTATACAATAGAAATATACGTTTAGTATTGGTCCATCAATGGATCCCAGAAGTTACCATTCATTATGTTTCTCGGGTCCCAACAAATACATTTGGTTATCCCTACCTGTATTCTTGTTCACTATATAAGTACCCTCAATCCATTATAATTTTATATATTCTGACGATTTACTTTACCCCGCCCCCTACACACACACCATCTTTTCTTTCCATCAATTTGTAATTCTCATTTATCAAATAATTCTTCTCTCTTTTTTCTTTCTCTTTCGCCCTCTCTCTCTTTCTCTAGATTATCGAAAAAAATTCCAATCAATTAAGTGTTAAGGAGAATAATGTTGTTTTACGTGAAAAACCTACAAAACATAAAGCTCAGTGTTGTCATCATTAAATCGATCATTTTTATTCCAAAGAAGAAAGAAAAAAGAAAAAAAAATTATTGATTCAAAAAAATAAAAAAATTATTGATTCAAAAAAAAGAAAAAAAACATTTATTTTGGTTGAAACAATAAATATGCTATTTGTAAATGTTATGTAATATGAATCCACATAGAAACAATGTTCAATGATCAGTGATATTGAAACTATTGATCATTTAATACATTATATGTAGATGATAATTTAAACACATAAGAAATAGTAAACATTCACTTGGTGATATTGTATTCTTGTATCTATTTTTATGTTATAAAGTTTTTGATTTAAGAGAATATCGAAGTAATACACATAGAATGAATAATATGTCAATAAGAGATTGAAACAAATAGTCCCTTTGATAAATTTCGATAATGTAATTAGAAGACGAAGATTATCAGAACTATGTGATATATCGGCGTAATACATTTCGAACGATCTGATCACACATAATACACTTGTTTAGAACATTTATATATAAAAATAAAAGGTCAATTAGACTGGGAATGGGGGTAAGAGGAGATAAAGATAATGATGATAATGTGAACACAAAGCGAAACCTAATCACTCTGGATAAGGTAAGAACACACTGTTTTTGAACATACAAAGGGGGTTTGAATTTTCGTATGGCTAAAGCTTCAATAAACCTTAGTATACACCCTTTTACACTTTTATACAACACTACAAACGCTGAATTTAGATCAATCTTGTGACCTGTTTCAATTATATGTTTAGCAATAGAGGATGATGGATGTTTATCCTCTGCTCTTATTGGGTCACTTGATTGTATTTGTTTCTGAAGCCATTTGGGTACATGTTCACTCACCCTAATGTTAAGATCACGATTGCTCCTCCCTATGTATGTGTGGCCAGATACACATTTAAATTGGTAAACACAATGGGATGTGACGCAATCGTTTCCATGTACTTTAGGTTTTGAATGAAGCATGCACCTTGTTCTTTCTTTGATAATGAGCTTTGCTGCGCAATAGGTTTTATTGATGACTGATTTAAGTCGTTGTTTCGATAAAAGGCTATTTGAATCACCTCTGAATGGTAAGGTGATGTAGACAGGTTTTTTCTCTACCGAGACTACAGTAGGTCTCGCTGTACCATGGACTTTCCATCTATTTATGAATTTCAGAGAATGGCCATTTTCTATTAATGTTTTATTTAACAACTTAACCTCATCATCAATGGCGTCATTGGTACAAATACGGTCGAGTCTGTTGAAAAGACACCTTATCAAACCACGTTTGTATTGCACAGGGCAATAACTATAATAATTAAGATATTGACCTGTCCACGTTGGTTTTCTAAAAATAAATCGCTTGACTGAACCATCTTCTCGTCTACTCACATAGTTCTGATAATCTTCGTCTTCTAATGTCGTTATCGAAATAAGAGATTGATTAATTATAGTCCTAGACATTCATGAAAAGTATCAAGTAAACTATACCAAGTGAATTTCCACTTCACTCCTATTGCATAAGCGCGTGATTATCAGGATTCAATGGCTATGTGGATAACGTGATGGCGTTCTAAGTGGACAGTATTAGGTTTGAGTACTGGATTAAACATCAGTTGTGAGATGCAGGTACATCCAGCTGACGAGTCCTAAATCGGGTGAAACGCGCATTCTGCTAGACACTATCCATCTTTGCTTACAATAATTATGCAGTCAATAAAATACTTTATATAACCGATTATCAATACTTGATAGATAGATAAACCAGTGACCATTACCAGACTTCTTAATTGATAGTATTGATATAGAATACATGTTACACATTTCTGTCAGAACTTAATGAAATCCATTCATATTTTTATAATAAACAAAAGTGATTCACCTTGAGATTTTATATAATTTGAAAGATAAGTTAAAGCGATCTTATGTATATGCCTAGATGATGATCACACAACTACTTATTATTTCATGGTTTTTGTTGGCTCTCTATCAGCTGACATTAATTCGAGGTGGGGGAGGGACATTATCTCCACCTTATACAAAATTATGACAGTTTATTTTCGTGTTCTTGTTATATTCTGTCATCTGAATATAGTTTAATTCTGACGTTTTCATTGTTGCTTTAAATAACAACATCTTTGGAGCTTACAATACATACATGTGTTATAAACACATCCCCTTGTACTATGAATCTTCTCCAGTATAAAGCAAACTGTTTTAGTAGACATATGCGTGTATTCATTGTCGTTAATTACAGAATAAGGGTTTTCTTGTTTACAGTAATAATACTATCCATACTAATGATATCCTGATAGTCTTAAACTATTAATTTCATCTTAGACATTTTGTCTAAATTTCATGTGAATGATAACATGTCCATGTCGATATATGTTAGATAATTCTATACTGTCACGTCCACTACTTGGTTAACGCAGAAATACTATATACACCTAACAGCACTCGAGTGTATAGAACCTTCAAACAGCCGCATATCAGAAGACAGAAGTGATTATTGGGTAAGAATAAAAAATGTGCAAAATAACATATGTATTTATAGTAATTAGCGCTGGCTATAACATCATTATAATTCAGTCAATCCTCAAAGCGTCATGCTACAGTCCAATCATGACATACCACGTTGATATTCCAGTAGGCACTACCAGGCTCTGATTGACTGAAAACTCTACAGCTTCTTTAGAGCCTCCACAGGTATCGTCGTGCTTTTAGGAAGCCATCCGAACAAGTACCTAATTAAATTATTTTGTCATAACGCATAACAGCTTAGATTCGATTTCAAAATATCATTAGAGATGATTGAGAACTTAACAATTTTGACCATAATAGATTTTACGGACGCCGATACAAAGCTTCAAATAAGTTGTATTGTGATATTCAGGATAACTATCGGTAGTACTAATATTAATCGGTGATAAATAATCATGAGAAAGATAATAGTCTTGGTGAAGTAGTATATTTATTCAAGGAACAAATTACTAATCGATCCATTAAATGCTAAAACTGAGGCCAGTAAAGACTGGTTATGTTATTGCATCAAAATTGTTCTTTTATGGTGGTATACTAGTCTAATTTGGATAAAAAATTCCAGTATTCATCATCACACATTTTAATGTCATTAAATAATCGAAAAATGGACCCCCCATGAGGTTTGAGAATGGAAAGGAGTAGCATAGTGCTTAGTTTGGTGAGTAAAAACAGTGGTCTATCATTCTAATTGAATTACAGGGAGACGTTGAAATAATAAGTTACCAAGGGTGGAAATTATACATAATCACAAAAAAAACTTGCGTCAATTATTAACTGGAAAAAGGCGGTTCATGAAGGTCAGGTTAGTTCAAGGTGGTATGTGTTTAATTACAATAAGATTGGTCTTTTTTGGTTACTTTTGTAACAGATCATCCTAGTGGTTAAATTCATCATGCAAGCTACATGGAGTTCGTTGTGTTCGCCCCCCCCCCAGTTGTGTTGCGGTATATATATTTTATGGGATACTAAACTGTCTATTATAAATGAGACGACTAACAACTCTCATAATCATAATAAACAAAAATCCTATGTTTATCAATGACATTCTTTCTGAATAAGATAAGGATATGTGTGATGAGAACTTGAGCAAGTACAAAGTAGATATCCTCTAATACTGTTCCTCGTTTATAACCACTCATCTACCATCTAACTTTGAGATGAGATATGACCACATGCACATGATATATCTATACTCCAACAAACCTATCAGAGTTAACTTTGCTGATAAGTGTGAAAACGTAACCACCAGACCACTGAGCCGGCCGACATCCAACAGTGCTAATGTCTAACTTCAACTAATCCACGAAATTAGGTGACAAATCCACCATTACCATTAGTGAGTTACTATCTCACAACTAACTCGGTTGGTGGATGTGTCGCTCAATTTCGTGGATTAGCTGAAGTTAGACATTAACACCGTTAGATGCCTGTCAGATCAGCGGTCTAGTTGGTTAAGCGCCTGGCACGAGACCAGTACGTTCTGGGTTCGAATCCCGCGAGGCAGGGTCGTGAATGTGCACTACTGAGGAGTCCCACAATAGGACGAAACGGCCGTCCAGTGCTTTCAGGTTTTCCATGGTGGTCTAGCTTCATCTGACTCATGATCTCAACAACTGAAATTACTAAAATCTCCACAAAACCCCCTTCTGATAGTATTAAAATAACGATTAATATTTGGTAATATGAACAAAATCATTTTAACTTATCATTGGTTACAATCAAGTTCAAGATTTAATTGAAACAAATTGTACACAAATCTTTTCAAGGTTATTACATTACTAATAAAAGAAATGACCATGTCAATAACTTCTTAGGAAAATTGTCATTTTCGTATAATCCAAACTATCTAGTTATATAATTGTAGTAGTGTGATGTGTACTACTGATATCGGCAAATATAAGTAGTATGTATCAACAATCGAAAGTGAATTACCTGGTGGCAGAAGGTTAAGAAGATTAATGAAAAGAGAATGAGAACAGAGAATGATTGGTATGGAAACGAAAGATTAATGAAATCTGAGACAATTGATTGACGTTTTGCAAATAGAGTGTTTAATGTATAGTTCTCAGAGTTTATTAAGTGGTTATGGATTTAACTAACTGAAAGTACCAAAGTCTTAGACTAAAATGAAAATCATGGGATTTATGAACAAAATGTCGATAATAAAATAAGCAATATTGTTGAGATCACGGTTCGATATAGGTTGAGTAACCAATGAAAAACCTAGAAACATTGGATAGGTGCTTTGTTCTACATTCAAGTTTGAGTATAGGAGATTTGTAATTATTGTTCATCTGAAACACAGTGTTTTCTAAGTGTAATTTCAATCGATTCACTTCCTTTATTGGACTCCTCTGTAGTATCAGCCTCTCTCTTTGATAAGTCGTGCAAATTGAACGCTATATTCGTTTCCTTAGCTATTCTGTAACCCTCAAGCTAGAACTATCCAGCGACCTGAACAACGA